AAAAAAAAAAAAAAAAGAGAGAGAGAAAGAGTGGCACCTGCTCAAGCAAAAAATTTACTGCGGCTTTGATATCAAGTGAAGTGATCGATAGACTTAAAGTAGCAAGAATTCCCATGTTTGGTTTTGGTGTTTATCTAGTGTAACGCTTTAAGAGAGGGCTCAAAAGGTTTATATTCTTAATTCTCAACCGATTCCTTTCTTTTTCTTCCCTTTTCCTTTAAAGAAGATTTCATAAAATGGAAGAAGTGGTAACAATAAACTTGTTGGTTGTATATTCTTTTTTTTTTAAAAAAAAAGTGATTGCTTTTTCTTCAGGATCAAGGCTCGACCCTCTTGGGAAGTGCTGCATGGTAAAGATATAACAATAAGAATGCGCGCTGTTATTAACTATTTGATCATAGTCTTGCCGTTGTCTACTTAATTTATGAAAGATATCACAACCGTAATAAATATGCAGTCCACTCTGAGGACAGGTCTCTTGTTGTGACACTTAAGGAAAGAAAGTTTGCAACAATAGCCTTGACTGGAACATTATGTATTGGATGGCTATACGAGATAGCTCAATATGTGATGAGTGGGAAACGTGAGTTGTATGCCATTTTGAAACTGGCTGCATATTCTGTTAGTTGGGTAATGTATACAAATGTTTATCCAACCTGTTTAACTCACCTGCCTTTTTTGGGGATAAAAAGTTTATCTCCTTCATATTGGCCTTAGCCTCTCCATCATTAAATCACTACAAGGATCGTCACTATAACTACGTTTTCATTTTCATATTCAGCATCGCAACCCTAGAATCTATCTTTCGCTTGTTGACGATTCCTACTATACGTAACTGGGACGGTGTGGTCGCCGTTGTATCCTTTACTTTGACACTGATCGCACTCACGACTCCTCAACCTTTACACCCAAGAAACCTTATACATGAAAGCTATGAGAAACTTGAAACAAAGAATGGAGAAGTGTACTATAACGTAGGAAGCCTTTCACAAGAGAATGTTGACTGAATACTAAAGTCTAGTTTAACATTAGAACTTACGTTTGAGCCCTGAAGCAACAGCCAGTGCTTTATCTTGGTGGGCATTTCAATGGGTAATATAAAGTAAAATGAACAAAAAAAGGAACCATGCCTTATGAACTATCTACAGGTAAATTCTTTGGTTGTCTTTGGATTCCACAATACGATATCATACGACAATCTCTATGCACTCACATTTCAACATCGAGCAAGGGACGCTTACGAGGACTTTAAGAATTCATTAAATTTCTATGCTCGTTCAAAAGTACTGCGAAGAATTTACGCGACAAACAAACAGGAGATCTGGTTGCAATTCATTTTCTCATCGCTTGCAGCATTAGTTAATTTTGCTAGCCCTGTCTTCCAGCAATTATTCTTGGGGTATTTTGAAGATCCTGCAGGAAGACCCATCAAGATTGCGTACATGTACGTTTTTGGTCTTTTTATGGTTGGTATGACGAGACTTATTTGCAATAACATTCAACTCTATGCGGGTCGACGTTGGAACGTACGATGCTTTGTTCAACTCGATGCTGAGCTTTTTGCTAAAACATTACACAGAAAGGACGCATCAGGCAGGATAGATGAAGATTCAAAGGAAGAAAAGGGAAAGGATGGTGATAAGAAAGATGATAAGAAAGAAGATAAGAAGGAGAAAGAAAAGGAAAATGACTTTAGCAGTGTTGGAAAGATTACAAATCTTATGAGCGTTGATGCGGAAATGCTAGCAAATATTACTCAAATGATATTCGTAAGTGATGTCCTGATATTAGTATTGTACTCATAGCCTATATAGTTGATGTATAACGCGCCCCTTGAAATCGCGGTTGGTATTTTTTATCTCTACAAGCTCCTTGGAACCGCTGCCTTAGTTGGTCTCGTCATCATGGTCCTGTCCTTCCCCTTATCCGCTTATGTCTCCAGCAAATACGGCAAACGATACACTGCCTTACAAAATGCCAAAGACAAACGTAATAGCTTGTTGAACGAACTACTCCAAGGCATTCGTATGGTGAAATACTTTGCTTGGGAGTTTCAGTGGAAGGAGAAAGTGAAAGAAGCGCGTCGTACCGAAATCAAGATGTTGCTCAACCTGGTAGCCTTTGAAATTGTCACAACCGTGCTTTACCTCTCTGTTCCTATCGTTGTGACTGTTGTCTCATTTATTTGGTATACTAAGGTTGCCGGTAACGAACTTACAGCCAGTGTTGCTTTTGTAAGTATCTCTCTCTTTGAGATGCTCCGTGCTCCGTTGAATATGCTCCCCGAAGCGATCATATTCTTGGCTGAGGCTAAAGTCAGTTTAATTCGTATATGCAAGTACTTGGATGAACCAGATATCGATGACAACCTCAACAATCAACCCGTAGAGGTTCCTGAAGGGGTTTCTCCCGAGACTGTCTTGGCCCGTTTGGGCTTTGAAGAATCTGTCTTCCAATGGCATTACGAAAATGAAAACACAGACAAGGAACCTACTTCGATTTCAACAAGTTCCAGCTCAACAACATTGAATCCCAGCAAATCAGAAACTCCTGTTTATCGATTATGCGTGCCTCGATTCAACTTTCCTACTGGCAAGTTGAGTATAGTAATTGGTGCTACAGGTAGTGGAAAGAGTAGTTTCCTTCACGCTCTTTTGGGAGAAATGGACATTGTGTCAGGCAGAGTATACTTGCCTTCTAAAGTTAAACTTCAGACTGAAAACTATTCCAAGATTGACCCTGAATATCCCAGCTTATATCTTGATAAAGTTGCCTATGTGGCCCAACAGCCTTTTCTGCAGCACGCTTCTATCCGTGACAACATTTTGTTTGGATTACCTTATGATGAAGCTAGGTATAAAAAGACTTTATATCAGTGTGCCTTGATCAAAGACTTGGGCATCTTGCCTGATGGTGATCGAACTGAAATTGGTGAGAAGGGTATTTCTCTCTCTGGTGGCCAAAAGCAAAGGTAATTGTAAAATGACAAGCATGATAAAGTGGGAAACTAATATAGTATATAGAGTATCATTAGCGAGAGCTGTTTATTCATATGCCAAAACTGTACTCTTGGATGATTGTCTTAGTGCGGTTGATGCGCATACCTCTAAGCACATCTTTAAGGAATGTATTATGGGTGATCTTCTTCATGGGCGTACTGTTGTTTTGGTAACTCATCACGTAAGACTGTGTCTACCTGCAGCAAAATTCTTGGTCAAGATCGATCATGGCAATGTCTTAGGTTGTGAAAGTATTGAGAGCTTGAAAGAAAGTGGTCAGCTCACCCAATTGATTGGAGAAGAGCTTGAAACGGAAATAGATGGAAGTACTGTTGAGGATGTGGTAGATGAAGATAAGCAAGATGACACAAACATCGATCTGGATAACACAGCTGAAGCTGCCAAGCTAATCAAGGAAGAAGCTACAGAGAAAGGACAAGTCAAGTTCAAAGTTTACGCAACTTACCTTGCTGCTTGTGGTGGCTGGTTCTTCTGGGCCGCTGTTGCGTTTGGATATGCTGCTTCACGTTGTTTGACCTTTGCTGAAAATTGGTGGTTAAAGGTATGGGCTGCTGCCTACAGTCCTAGCCCAGTAAACGCTACTGTTCAAGCATATGTCCAAGAGGGTGCGCCTTTTGTAGCTTTGGCCACAAAAGCACCTGCAGTTCCAGAGATCTTTAACACATTAACAAGCGTTGTTCAAAATCAGAATGTATTTAAAACATGGGTTTTCGAAGAAAAAAACCCTGTAAACGTAGATTACTACATTGGAGTATATATAGCCATTAGTGTTAGTTGTATTCTTTTTGAAGCTATCAGAAGTGCAATGCTCTATTGGGGTTCGATCCGTGGTGCTCGTGCCTTGTTTGATTCTTTGGTCGACCGTATTGTCCGTGCCCCTATGCGATTCTTTGATACAACTCCTGTGGGTCGTATTCTAAACAGATTTGGTAAAGACATTTCCGTAATCGATCTTCACCTTGCTCGTTCTGCCAGCTTCTTGATTGAATGTGTCACTGCCATCATTGCTGCTACTGTTGTCATGTCTGCGATTACACCAGAGTTTATTATTACTGCCATCCTTATTGGTAAGCTATTGTCATCCTTTTATATATATATATATATATATATGCATATCATGCTAACAAGGTCACAACTAGGTGCTTTATATGTTCTCATTGGCTTATTCTATCTTCGCGCTTCTCGTGAACTCAAGCGTTTGAACTCTGTCAGTCGTTCCCCTATTTATTCTCAGTTTACTGAGTCTCTGATCGGTGTTACTACCATTCGTGCCTATGGTGTCGAAGAACAGTTTATGATTTCAGTCTTTAACAAGCTTGACACCTATACAACGTCATACTATTTCCTTTGGATGGCTAACCGCTGGCTTTATGCACGTATCGAATTTGTTGGTGCATTTGTTACCCTCTCTGCTGGTGTATTCTTGCTTATAAACATCAACAGAATCGACGCAGGTGTGGCTGGTATTTCATTGTTCTATGCCCGTAGTTTCTTAGAATATGTTTATTGGTTCATCCGTCAGTATACCCAAGTTGAAATGAACCTCAACTCAGTTGAGCGTGTTCAAGAATACCTTGAAATTGATCAAGAAGCACCCGCTGTAATCGAAGGCCATCGTCCTCCCGCTGCATGGCCTACAACCGGTGCTATCGAAGTAAAAGACCTTGTTGTCCGTTACGCCCCTGAGCTTGACCCTGTCTTACACGGCATCTCCTTTTCTACAAAAGCTCATGAAAAGATTGGTATCGTCGGTCGTACTGGTTCCGGCAAAAGTACGATGGGCCTCAGTTTCTTCCGTTTCTTGGAAGCCAGTGAAGGATCCATTAGCATTGATGGAATTGATATCGCAAAGATTGGCCTCGAAGATCTTCGTTCAAAAATTACCATTATTCCTCAAGACGCTGTCTTATTTAATGGCACTATTCGTTCTAACCTTGATCCATTTGATGAGCACACTGATGAAGCTGTCTGGGAGGCTCTGGAGCGTGCGCATCTCGCTAACCCAGCCGATCGAGCTAAGCATTTGGCTGGTCCTGGATCTTCTTCCAGCTCTGTAGACACTGAAGAAAACCGTGCTCCTTCTTCTATCGTCAGTTTATCCCAAAAGGTGAGTGAAGGAGGTAGTAACTTCTCCCAAGGTCAGCGACAATTATTATGTCTTTCTCGTGCTCTGCTTAGAAACAGCAAGATTATCATTATGGATGAAGCAACGGCCAGCGTTGACTTTGAGACTGATACAAAGATTCAGGCCACCATTCGTGAAGAGTTTACAAACTCTACTTTGCTGTGTATTGCACATAGACTTCGTACGATTATCGATTATGATCGTGTCTTGGTACTCGACCAAGGAAAAATCATTGAATATGATACACCTTATAATCTATTATGTGGTAACTCTGGAACTGGTGTCTTCAAATCTATGTGTGAGCAATCTGGTGAATATGATATCCTTCTCACCATGTCTAAAGAATCTCAAGCTCATCAAATTGAAGAACAGCGATCTGATAATCATTCCAAGATTTATTAAATAAATAAAAACCTTGTTAATCACAAACTACCTTTTTTGGATCATCTGTCAACGAAATTATTGAGTTACGCCAACCTATAAAAATCTCAGATTATCCTAAACAAGTGATCTTTGTTTGCTACGTGTGTGTGTATGACTTTTCATACAGATGCTTTGTACAAGTAATAAGCAATGCTTTTGAAATACACATTGCAATATGTAATAAAGTTAACTATCGATTATCATTATTGATAAGCACTATAAAAATAGTTGGCTGAGAATTTTGTCATTTTCACAATAAAATGCCCTGAGCCACACGATAGTCACTAAATTAAGCTACAGGTTTCTTTTTATAGCAAAGTTGACTTTCTTTAGCCTCTTCTCTCTCTTTTTTTTCCTTTTCTTGGTTCAAAGAAATATAAATATATACAAATATGGGTTATCACAAAGTATCTGAACCAGAAGATATAACAAACCAATACACACACAGTGGGGAGGAAGCAGTCCCTTTAACAAGTTCGACAAAACTGACAACAGAAAAACAACAGACCATTACGGATGAGGTTCCACCTCACTTGGAGCCTTACTTACAAACACAGCCCACCTTTGGGCTCACCGATGACCAAGTTATCGAAAGACGAAACCGGTTTGGGAGAAATGAGCTAACAGAAAAGAAAAGAAATAAACTGTTGCATTTTTTATCGTTTTGTAAGCATAAAGATAACAGTCCAGAAAAGGAAATCCTAACCTTTCTGCTTAGTTACAGGAGCCATTTCATATCTAATGGAAATATCTCTTATATTGACAGCCTTAACAAAGGATTGGCTTGATTTTGGCATCATTTTGGGCATGTTGATCATCAATGCAATCATTGGATACGTAGAAGAAAGCCGAGCCGAGTCAGCGATTGCATCCTTAAAAGACAGTCTGGCACTGCACTGTCGATGTTGGCGTAACGGTCAGTTGACAGAGATAGCTTCGCGAGATATAGTTGTTGGAGATATTATCGTCTTGAGACTTGGAGACATTGTACCTGCCGATGCAAAATTGTTAGGCATTGGTGCCTCAGGGGAAGCAATTGAGACAGACATTCAAGTAGACCAGAGTTCGCTCACAGGTGAATCACTGCCAGCCAAAAAGAAGCCAGGTAGCTTGATCTACTCATCCTGCGTGGTGAAACAAGGCCAACAGCAGGCCATAGTTGTTCGTACTGGTCCAGACACATTTATCGGAAGAACTGCCAGCTTGATCACAGTGACTACGGATTCTGGCAGATTTCAAAAGGTTATAAACTATATCGGCAACTTTTTAATCATCATCTCCATTGTCTTGGTCCTGATCTTGTTTGTGTATGACTTGATTGAGCAGAGAAACACGACAGGCACAATCTCTGGTGATCAAGTATTGGCTATTCTTAATGAAATGGTGGTACTTACCATCGCTGCGTAAGTCAAATGAACAATAAAAGAATAACTGTATTCATTTTTATATATAGTATTCCCGTTGGTTTACCCACTGTCATGTCAGTGACCATGGCGATTGGAGCAAAGCAGTTAGCAAAGCGCCAAGTTATCGTCAAACGATTAACAGCCGTTGAAGAGTTTGCTTCAGTTTCTATTCTTTGCAGTGATAAAACAGGCACCTTGACAAAGAATGAGTTAACCTTTGACGAGCCTTATCTTGCTGGATCTTATTCTAAAGATGATATTCTGCTCTACTCTTATTTAGCTTCCGAAGTAGCTACTGATGACCCTATCGAATTCGCAGTTAGAACCGCTGCTGAAACCCATCATCCTCAAGTGATGAATGATGGCAGTCACACAGTTCAGGGATACAAGGTCACCTCCTTCAAACCCTTTAATCCAGTTGATAAAACTGCTCAAGCAACTGTTCAAGATACCGCAACACTTGCCACCTTCCGTGTTGCCAAGGGCGCTCCTCCTGCAATTTTCGAGATGGTCGGAGGAAATAAGGAAGCAGAGGAAATGGTCAATTCTTTTGCCAGCCGTGGTTTAAGATCTTTAGGTGTTGCTCGTACTGTCAATGGCATGGAAGACTGGGAATTGATTGGCTTGCTTAGTTTTATTGATCCTCCAAGAAATGACTCTGCAGAAACATTAGCTGAATGTCAAAGATATGGTATCTCTGTCAAGATGATCACAGGTGATCAAAGAGTGATTGCTAAAGAAGTAGCAGGAAGGTTGGGAATGGGCCAGAATATTATGGATGCAGATGAATTAGTAGACCCCAGTAAATCAGAGCAGGAAGTCTCGGATATGTGCTTGTATTCTGATGGTTTTGCCAGAGTCATTCCAGGTAAAGAAGAATAAAAAGAAAAGAAAAGAAAACTTAGGCCTTATTTGTAGAGCATAAATACAAAGTGGTTGAATTACTTCAAGAACGTGGATACTTTGTAGCAATGACAGGGGATGGTGTTAATGATGCACCTGCACTCAAGAAGGCCAATGTTGGTATAGCTGTCGCAGGTGCTACAGATGCTGCTCGGTCTGCCTCAGACATTGTGCTGCTAGAGCCAGGTTTATCAGCAATTATTGATGGTATCAAAACATCAAGAGTCATCTTTCAGCGTCTTCAGTCATATGCTCTGTATAGAATAACGTCTACCATACACTTTTTACTTTTTTTCTTTGTTATTACGCTTGCAGAAGATTGGAAAATGCCACCTGTATTCTTGATTTTGATCTCTTTACTGAATGATGCAGCAACACTTATTATGGCTGTAGATAACGTCAGTATCTCACATTCGCCCAACATGTGGAGACTAAGGCTTTTGATTGTGCTTTCATGTGTTCTTGCGGTTGCACTATCTTTATTTTCATTTGCACACTTTTATATATTCCGTGACGTTTTACATGTGGCACCTGAGGAGCTCTCCACCATCATGTACTTGCACATATCTTCTGGTAAGTTGAGTGTATATATATATATATATGTTTGACATGTGCTTTATTGATCCACTTTTTATTATAGCACCTCATTTTGTGATCTTTTCCACACGTACAAACACATTCTGGTGGAAAAGTATGCCCTCACTTGTCTTTAGTGTCATCGTATTGGGAACTCAGGTTATTGCTCTCTTCTTGTCTGTCTATGGTGTTGGTCAAAGCCAGAACATTTCAGGAATAGGATGGCCACGCGGTTTGATTATTATTGCCATCTCTTTGGCTATTTTCCTTATTATTGACTTGATCAAAGTTCTGACTATATTTATTTGGGAAAAGATCGAAAAGAATCCTTCAACAACATCAACATTTGCTTCCTCCAAGAAAAAGCCAACAACCAAGGCTGCTGCATTCGTTCAACGATCGAGATTTGGTTATGATAGAGCGATGAGACGTGAATCTGATAGTTCTATTAAATCATATTAAGCGTCCAACCTTGTAAAAACATGTAATAAAGAGACTATATACATATATACACACACATTCTATAATGTTTATTGTACAGAGGCATTTAATGGGTAGTACACATGTTATGTATGAGTGCTATATTATCAATTGATGATGTATTCTATTGATTTCTAGCATTACAAGGGGTAACAAGAAATAATCTAGTATAATGCCCAGTTTTGGGGGGAAAATAGATGTAGTAAAGAAAAGCATATGCGTGTCTATGAGACCGCTTTTTGGGTAAAGTAGAAAAAGTAATTGATACATTTCATCCCATAAAACAGTTGTCTCTTTGAGAAATAATCGTGGCTAAAAAGAAATGTGATCCATGTGATATCAATAAACCATCCAGGACAAAAAAAAAAAAGAAAAAGAAAAATAGTTTATAACATAGCAACGGACAGTCTATGATTTTACCCCATAAATAGGGGCAGCAAAGAAAGAAAGAAAGAAAAGAGTTTATATATATCCTACTACTTCTTTTTTTTCACTATTAAGCTTTAATTGATCACACGTACTCTGATAATTTCGTAATTCTTATTGGACAATAATTATTCGTTTTACTGTTTCTAAAAGCTTTTTTTATAATTCAACTCTTTTTTTCTTTCCTTTCTTTGAACCTTGTTTAAGCCCTATTTTTTTATTTTTTTATTTATTACTTCAATGGTAGATTTTCCTGCTTCACTAGTAATGGAAGACAGCTTTCAGACATGCGACTCACCTTCAGGCTCTTCTACATCAGAACCACATGACGAGACTCATAATACCACACAACCATTATCATTTATGGACCAATCCTTTTTTCATAAATTAAGTCAACTGACATCAGACAATCCTTTATTCTTTATGCAACCACAAAGTAATAACAGCACTATTTCACCTGCTACGACAACGATATCCACATCCCCAAATACTGTCTTTAATTCTGCTTTCGTTGACCCACTTTCACCAAATAATAATAATAATAATAACAAAAATGAACCAGCATCATCATCATCCAATTTTTGGCCAGATTTCAATCATGTAAACTATTCAAAAACGACATCTCATCATATAATAACAACTATCATATAGGCGATTCCTGATCTTGCAAAGAATTATACAAATCATATTGCAGGATATTCTTTTAATTCAAGGTACATTTATATATAATATAAATGATAAACAAGAGGAATAACTTTCTTTAAAACAAGATCGCCTCAGATGGATACTCATCAAAATAAACCATTGCCTGGGTAAGAAAATAATATATGAAAGAAATACACAAAAAGCTTATTATTATTATTATTATAGAATGCAAATCAGAGTATTGGGTGTGCCGCAGACGGGTGCCAAGTCTCGTGTGGAGACACAAATAAAGTTATGTATTCAATTAGTTACTGATGATGGAGACAAAGCTCAACAATGGTCTCATCTAAAGTTACCCGAACATATGGTCGCTAAAGAAAAACTAAAACGACAAATCCTATTATCCACTGCGCCCAACGGTTCAAAGATTGCAAATATTGCTGGCTTAGATAATTCAACGGTTCATCCTGAAAAAATGCTTTATCTGTCAGCAAGAGTTATTTGTGCCAGTGATCCATCTCGAAAAGTAGTTACTTGTCTTGGTTGCATTCAAAGAGAGGTACACACTTGCTAACATTATTATTGTTATTTTAATTCATAAATATATATAGCGTAAACGTTCCCAAAGAAGAAAAGAAAACAAAAAGGTTGATTCAGAGGAACAACAAAAGTTGGATGACGAGAAATCTATAGCAAATGAGGAACAAAAGATCTTGTTGTTCAATTGCTCAGAAGTAGTAGACTTTAGTTCAGGTGACACCATACTTCCAACTAGAATCACTTGTTACTGTCGACATCACAATGAACGAGTTGGATTCTGGTAAAGAAAAATACATGACTGATATCAATCAATCCCTAATTATTACACTTAGTATTTATTTTGAAATGAATGATCACACTGGCAAACAAGTTGCCACGGGTATATCGCCTCCAATCATGATAACTGATGATCACAAGTCAAACAAGCTTAAATCCGGTAGAAAAAGGCCTAGAACAGACATGGACAGTTCATCTTCTCATTTTACAACTTCTTCCTTTGACTCGAGACATATCGGTAGCACCTCATCAACACCTTCGGTTCTTCCCAGACAATTTAATAACCATTATCAGATACAACCCCGCCCTTCTCCAGAACTGACTAAGATAAATGAGGTCTCTTCTTTCTTGTCACCCGAAGTGCTCGGTACATCTCCCGAACGGCCTTTACTCCAACGTCTTATTCCTAATGAAGGACCAACCTATGGTGGCATCGAGGTCACTCTTCTCGGCTCAGGTTTTCGTTCAGGCTTGACTTGCATGTTTGGAGATGTAGCTGCTTCTAGTACACACTACTGGTCCCCGAATACGCTTGTGTGTATCTTGCCACCTGCTGCTGATGTGGGTACTGTCGTCGTATCCTTCAAAGAGTACCCGCTCGTGATGGATAGTCAAGATGTTATGCTGTTCACTTACTACAATGAAAATGACCGTGCTCTTATGGAGCTCGCTCTTCAGGTTGTCGGCCTCAAGATGACGGGCAAAGTAGAGAATGCGAGAGAAATTGCCATGCGTATCGTTCAAGGAGGAGCAAACAACAACGACAATCAAACTCAAAACAACACAACGACTCATGGTAATCAGTCTCAGCAAACCAATCTAGAACGCCACATCATGCAAGTGCTTGAAGTCATGACTACCTTTCGTGATGTGGACCCAGCTGATGTTTCCATCACCAGCGCCCAAGGCCATACCATGCTTCATTTTGCTGCTATGCTTGGATTTGCACAGCTGTCCGAGATGCTTATCCATCTTGGCTGTAACACTAATATAACAGATAAAAACGGATATACTGCTTTACACTATGCTGCATGGCATAATCATCAAAATGTGGTTGCTGTCCTGTTAGAAAAGGGTTCGGCAGACCCAGAAATATCAAACAGATGGAATAAGAAACCTCTGCAGCTCACTGATGATCCGACAATTCGTTATATGCTCTGGAACCATACTCCTGCCGATGACGATTACTACTCTTCTGATTCTGAATACGGATATGATTCATCTGATATGCTGAGTGCAGACATTGATACCTCATTTGATGAAGACGATGAGGAAGCCAGTGTCTGGTTAAGTGATGCTGATGTAGCAGAAGATGAAACAAAGAATGTCAATTGGGAGCAATATAATTATTTATCAGACTCTGATGATTCCTTGGACGAGCAACACGAACAACCGCATCTGATCACAGCAAGCTATGGCGAAGGTCTACGGAACCGCAAGAGACGCACCACTCAGCAACCATTCATTCAGTACTTGAAAGAAATAGAAACAGCATCTCATTCGCCTGAAGAGATCATGGACGCGGAACCACTTCATGATGTTGATCCGCCTACTGATTACGAAGATGAAAAGATTGTACCCAAAGAGATGAGTTGGATGCAGCGCACGCTCTCCCACTTTCAACCGGCGGCGCCCAATGATTTATTACAAAACATCAAAAACAATATCCCTGCCAAGCCTACTGATCTTAATCTCAAGAATATTGCAGATCACATCCTTCAATTCCCTAGCCGACCTGCTTCCATGATGTCTGGCTTGTTTTCAAACAATAAGACACATCAACAAGAAGAACCAGAACAAACACTGGCTTGGTATATGGCACTGGCCTATGCTATGGGTGCTGGAAGTTTAGTAACAGAAGATGATAAAGAAGATAATCACAGCGTAGCTTCTTCAACGACAAACCAAGAAGAATATGCAGTAGCTGTAAGCAAACGACGAGACAGAAGACTCTACTCTTTCTGGGTGCCAATGCTTTGCCGTAAGTTTTTTTTTATTTATTTATTTTATTTTATATGAATACTAATTATATATAGTAATGATAATATGGCTTATATTCCAATTCGTATCTTCTCACCCAGGATTAATGGATACAATTATTGGCATAGCAGGTTTTAGAAGACAGTATCTGACCATACATTAAATTATCTAGCATACCCTTACGTTCTTTCTTTATCATTCACTACTTATTTACTATTATTGTTATTCCAAAGACAAAGAAATAATATATGGAGCATTGTGTACTTATCATCTATAAATAACAACAGATTACTACGGATTTTTTGTCTTGTGTTCCTGGGTTCGTCTGTGACTGTATATGAAAAAGCCACTGATTTCTAGAAACAAAGGAACGCGCGCGAGTGCTTGCGTGCGGGGAAATTCTTAAAAAAAAAAACGTTTTAACAATTTCTTTCAAAACCTTTCCCTTCATTCACAATGTCTTCTCTTGACGCTCACGTTTACAAATATCTCTTATCCAAGGGATACAAAGAAGCAGCTGAATCTTTAAAGAAGGCCAATTCTTCTGTAAGTTTAACTTTTTTATTTGCATGAAGTCAGAAATTGACAACATTTATTGTTTATATAGGTCACTAAAGAAAAAGCAAAAAAAGATCTTGCTGCGATCTTTGAAGCTTATGAAAACAAGTAAGAAATAGAATTAAACTGCGTGTGCGCATATATATATATGTACTTACACATGTTGTGTAGAGATTCTAGTGACAGCGATTCCTCTAGTTCTTCTGATGAAGAAAGCTCTTCTAGCTCTGAATCATCCAGTGAAGAAAGTTCCTCTTCAAGCGATTCTTCCGATTCTGAATCTTCTGATGAAGAAGAAGAAAGCTCAAGCTCTAAATCTAGCTCATCCTCTTCTAGCTCTGAATCTAGTTCGTCTTCTTCCAGTTCTGAGAGCGAATCATCCTCCGACGAAGAAGAGGAAAAGAAGGAATCCAGCAGCTCCGATAGCGAATCGTCTTCTGATGAAGATGTTGAAATGAAGGAAGCCGAAAAGGAGTCTAGCTCTGATAGCAGCTCAAGCTCCAGTTCCGAAAGCGAATCTTCTGACGATGAAGAAGAAAAGAAGGATGAATCTAGTTCATCCTCTTCCAGCTCTGAGAGCGATTCCTCCTCTGACAGTGAATCATCCGATGAAGACGAGGAAATGAAGGAAGCCGAAAAGGAATCAAGCTCTGAAAGCAGTTCAAGCTTTGACAGCTCTGACAGTGATTCATCTGATGGAGAAAAGGAAGAAGAAAAGAAAAAATCTAGTTCCGAAAGCTCTTCTGATAGCTCAAGCTCTGACAGTGACTCTTCTGACAGTGAAGAAGAAGAAAAGAAAGAGAAATCTAGCTCTGAAAGCGACTCAAGCAGTTCTGACAGTGACTCTTCTGACAGTGACTCTTCTGACAGTGAAGAAGAAGAAAAAAAGAAAGAAGAGAAGAAAGAGGAGTCTAGCTCCGACAGTGATTCAAGCAGTTCTGATAGCGATTCATCTGACAGTGACTCATCCGACAGCGAAGAAGAAGAGAAGAAAGAGGAAAAGAAGGAAGAATCTAGCTCTGACAGTGATTCAAGCAGTTCTGACAGCGATTCATCTGACAGTGACTCATCCGACAGCGAAGAAGAAGAGAAGAAGGAGGAAAAGAAGGAAGAGAAGAAGGATGAATCTAGTTGCTCTGACAGCGACTCAAGTTCCGACAGCGATGACTCTTCGAGTAGTGATAGCTCAAGCTCTGAAAGTGAATCATCCGATGATGAAGATACAAAGATGGAAGATGTCGAAAAGGAAGTTGAAAACACAAAGATTGAAAAGCGTAAAGCAGATGAATCACCTGCTGAAGAACCAGCATCCAAGAAAACCATTGTTACAGCCAACGGTGTAGCCAAGCCAAAGGGAAAGAAACAACCTGGAACGCCATTTCAAAGAGTTAAACCTGAAGAAGTAGAATTTGTAGATGAAAGATTAAAGGACAACTCTTATGAGGCTAAGGGAGGATCTGATGTAAACTCATATGGCTGGAAAGCTTCTCAAGATTTGATTAAAGTACGTGGAGACAAGTTTAGAGCAGAAAAGAACAAGAAGAAGAGAGGATCTTACCGTGGAGGACAGATCACGTTCGAAAGCCACAGCATTAAATTCGATTAATTTTTTTAATTAGAAGAAAAACGTAAATAGTATACATTCTTTCCCAAATATATCGCATCTTTAGAGAAAATTGTGTTTATATTTGCTTTTTTTTTTTTACTTTGTGAGTTTATTCATTCATTGACAATGCTCCTTGTCTTTCAAGGAGAATCGTATCCAAGTTCTTGAAAGCTTTCTCCAAGCGTGTAGAATTATCCATGACTGTCATTTCAGGACATTTGTAAATGTGAAGACGCTGTAAAAGATGGGTTATATGGGGTCAACTCTCTTTCTTTCTTTACCTCTGGATCTGTATCAGGTATGGTATTGTTCTTATTGTTTATTTTACACATGTCAGCTAGAGTATCAAGCATTCTTCCAACAGTAATTTTCTACAATGAACAAAATACATCAGATTATGCTATTTCCTTTCATCATTTTGCTACCTTATCAAAAAAGACGGATAAAGAATCTACAAAAGATTCCTTTGGGCACTGTGCATAAATGTATAGACGAGAAGCGGCCGGAACAGATAAATCTCCCTTTGCTTGAGACTTCATCTTCATGAGTTCCACCATACCGCCGTTTTTACTCTTGACAGGCACTGGTTTAATTGCTTGTGCCTTTTCTATCTTATTCGTCACCTTAAATGTTTTAGCTATTTTTTCCTGCGCTGCCAGTTTTCGTTCTGCTTTTCTCTTTTCATCTGCAAGTAGAGATTCACAGCTATGTGCGGACAGATGCCTGTGTCTGATGGATATGTTTATAACAGCTTTTGAAATGTTAAATGATATGTTACCTTAAACAAAAATCTTGTCTGCAACCATCACATCTTACAGGGCCAATGCGGGGATCTATATCATAACAGCCTTGAACTGCGCATTTCCGATCAAATTCAACCTTCGAATTGGGTTCCTGATAGAGATAGATTCTGCAGTCTGACTCCAAGTGCTCTTTAAGCTGAAATAAATAAAAGGGAGTCTAGTCTTTAGGAACAAAAGGGAATTGTGCTTACTTACAGTCTGCTCGGGACTTAACTTTGCTAAGTTGGGTGGACTAATTAGATTTAAACATTTATGACACTGTATGAGTTGCTTGTCCACAAGATTCCACTGTGAGCAATCATGATTCAATGGCAATCTATGTTTTTCACTTTACACATAAACCAAGCAAGTTACTACTTTACTGCTGTCATACAAAAGCATTCTTTCAACCATACCAAAACACATGTTTACATAACGGACAAACTATGGGTAAAAAATCTAATGAATTACAATGAGAAAGGTCGCAATGTTGACCAACATTAGGTAATTCCATTTTAAGAGAAAAAGAGAAAAAGAGAGAGGGAGAGAAAGATCTACTGTTTTTTATTATACACACACAAATGATCTTAGGCAACAGTGACTGATTCTGCCTTGTTTGCTGCTTTTTCTGCAATCTTTGCTTGTACTTTTTGTTGACGAAGTATTTTTGCCTTTAATTCAAGTGCCTTTTCACTAAACAAATTCTTGTCCTTTGTCTCTAATAAATATTTGTCTAATCCACCCTTTTTGTCAATAGTACGCAAGACGGATGTTGTTACTTTGAGTTCAATAAACTTTGAGAGTGTCTCTGAATACAAGTTTTTGTTTTGAACGTTGGGTAACCAGTTGCGTCTTGTCTTTTTCTTTGAGAAAGGATTCTACATTCGAGTGACAATTAAACATTGATCATGATGTATGATTAATCAATCATTACATTGTTACCAAATTGAATATGCTTTCCTCCAAATAAACCACGTTGAGCACGCTTAAAGGTAGCTCTGGCAAGAGCATAGGCTGGTTCTGCAGACAACATTTTTTTTACAAAAAAAAAAAATAATAAAGAAGGGGTAAGTTGCCTATCAGTCACACAGACACACGCAGGCAAAGACACACACACGCATACCCTTTTCAAAAGTGACTTGTTTTATGACGGACTTTACCCTTTTTTTTTTTTTTTACTAAATATGATAGATACACCAGAGTTTATTTGTAGTCATCGAAGAATTGAGGTATGTTTGATGTTAAGCCGAGGTAGATAACTGTATATGTTAATCAACGCAAAAGCATAGAATGGAGAAGTGCTCTATCAAGTAAAATGGATTGGATATGATTGTGAAGATACAACTTGGGAACCAGAGAATGTTGTTCAAGAGTAAATTAGAAGACAGTTTTACAATCAGTCATTCTAATCAGCGTTTTAGAGAATGGCCAGAGCTACTACAAGCTTATTTAGATGATATAAAGAGAAATGCACCCAGCAAAATGTATGATTTCAAGTCTTCACAGCAAGAGCAGAGTGATGCGCTTTTTGAATATTTGGAATCGATAGAGGATTGGGAAGAAGCTGTTGATGAGATTGTATATATGGAAAAGTGTAAAGTACCTGGTTATTTGGTCTACGTGAAATGGTAAGTGCATAATGCGATGGGTAACTATAAGATAATATAATAATAAATAGGAAAGATGGCACCTGTTCAGTACATCATTCTAGTCAAGTTAATGAAAGGTGCCCACAGAAAATGATTGACTTTTACGAGAAACATCTCGTGAAGACACCACTTTCAAAGCAATGATAATAAAATATAATAATTACACAACCTCTCTTTTTTTGTATAAAAGCATTGTTGACGAATATCAATGTATTACCCTCTGTTGATGAACTGGGTATATTCTTCAGATTGCTGATTCTTATATTGAACTACTAGCGTACTTTGGTAAACGAGTGTAACCATGAACCTGTTGCTAAGTATGTCAACAAGGCAACCGACATTGATGCACCCAGTACATACACTGACAAAGATTTTTCAAACATTTATTTGGAAAAGATAAGTAAACTGACTAAAAGGACTCTAACAACATCTTTTAGAAAGTATCCAAGGTTGATTTTAGAAAAGGGTGCATGTAAAACATATTTTATTTATTTTCTGGAATGGTTACTATAGAATAACACAACGAGTCTTTTTTTTTTTAAATATAGAATGGAGTCTTTATAGTCACATTACTACTACTACTACTGCTACTATTACTATTGCCATTGTTTATATTGTTATTATTAATATTATTAACTGTAGTCGTCATGTTTAAGACCTCATGGCTTTTTGTGTCATATGGTATAGCTTCATCATCTTCCATAAAGAATTGAACTTCGTCATCTTGTTGAGGAGGTAAAGGATCATCTTGTTGTTGAGGATGATGTAAATAATTGTTGCTTTCGTGGTTACTGTTTCCACCTGGAATGTTTATTGCCTGTGTTGTAGGTGTGTTTAATAGTCTATCGTCGTGATCTAATGTTTCGTTTTGTTTTGTCAAGAAAGGTACTTTCCATATCTGTTGATTGTCTGATAGCCAATCATTATTAACCCCTGTTGGACTCATCGAGTAATAACGTTGCTGTTCCTGTTCTTGTTGTCTTAATTTTCTAGCCTGTAGCTCAGTGGGTGTGAATAAGTCATTGAGAGAAGAAGGAAGCATAGCATCATTCAAGTCAAGTCCTCCATCATTATCCAATGTGTTGTTCAAGTAGTTATTATTGGATGAGTTTGGATGACGATAATTTTGATTTGTTTCAGGTATGCTTGAACTAAAGTTACTATATCCGTTGTTTCTTGGATGCAAATAAGTACGACTGCTGCTGCTGCTCGTACTGCCAAATAAGAGATGATCGGATGATTCACGCGGAGAAGAGCGTAAGCCAATGAGATCGGCTGAGATCATATTTGTGCGTGGGCTTTGGTTGCGCCATAATGAAGAGGATTGATCGTTGAATTGTTGATGAAACAAGGATACGGCAGGCGCAGAGGAAGCAAAGGGGTCACTGCTATTTAAAAATGACGGCCCTAGACTGCTGCTCATCGTACGTCTTCCCAGAAAGGATAGGTTGGGTGGAGTATTGGCAGTGAGAGTATTTGTTTTAATACCAATCGTACCAGCACTGGTACCATAAGGAGACATTGTATGTAATAATGCACACTTTGTACCAAATTTGCAATTTCCTTTAATAAAGTATTTACAAACTGCACTTTCTGATGAAAGATCTGAGTTATGGGAAAATGTACAATTTGCTCCTGCTGTGCATGTTCCTTGTTTAAAAAACTTACAAGGTACATGTGATAAGTTGGATTCTATATGTTAAAATTGAGTTATCTATTGACAGCATATGTTTATATTATTTACGCTTATTGTTATTATTATTATTACTATTATTGCTGAGACCGCTGCTGACTGTCTTTTGTGGGGAAGAAGCATAGAGATTGTCTGAAATAGTATTATTGTTGTTTGATGTTGCACTAGTAGTAGCAGGAATAGATTGTGTACGCGACCTCTTGAATTGAAATGATTGAGAGGGTGAACTTTTCGAGAGTATGCCAAGACTATAATCAGGCGAGAGTAACAAATTAGGATCTGACATTGATGTGTATTAATAAGGTAAAGAAAAGAAAGGGGGAAGAAGAAAAAAAAAAAGAGAGAGAAAAAGAGTAATATTGTCTATAAATAAATAAGGGGACAAATAAATAATCAAAATGATTGGCTATGAATTAAAAAGTCATGCGTTACCCAAGATGAAGCACATACATACACACATACATACATATACACACACACTTTACAAAGTGTGTCAGTTACGGCTTATTATTCATATCTCTCTCTCTCTCTCTCTCTCTCTCTCTCTCTCTCTCTCTCTGCATTACACAATCACTATAAAGTGTTTTATCATTACTATACATAACTGATATTACAGAAAAAAAAGCTTTAGTGGTGACTCTTTCTTCTTTTTTTGTTTGCTTATTTAATAACAGTAAAAGAAGAAAGATATCCAAATATGTATATAGTTATATTATATGTTATGTTTCTAATCATTGTTATATTTGACAAGACAATGGGTTCCAGTTGAGTGGGAAAAAAGAAAAGAAAAGAGAGAGATGATCCTATTTAAAATCAGACTTTAATTTATAGGAACGGCATATCCTCAGTTCACTTTTGGGTAAAGTAGCATTTTCTAGTTATACCATCCAAAAGACTCCTGACAACGATAAAGAATAACATATAATTGTCCATGAGAAAATACAAGTGACAGACGATATAAGCAAAGGGTTGATTCTTGTGTGTATGCTTTACTGATTAACCATCCCATACAGTCTGTTGGGGATTATCTCAAAGTTAACACCTGCTAATCCCACAAAAGGGAGCATGGAGAATATTGTCCATGTCGATCTGCTTAAAAAGCTTATAATGATCACACACACGCACACAAAAATACTAATTGTATAAGCCCAATTATATACTTTACAAAGAGGAGTTTGTCATTCAGACAAGCACATATGTATGATCAAATCATAATAATTTTTGATCTGAAAACAATATCATCGAGCAAACCTCACCGTTTAGATATTACAGTCCCCTTTAACCTCGCTCACTGACTAATTTTAACAAACGCTATTTACTCTGCACCGAGTTCTTGTTGAAATAAGCCGACTATTAGCAACTATATCCCTTTTTATTAAGCAAATCATGCTTCATATTGTCAATTATATCCAACAGGGATCCAAGGCAGCAATATCTCAGGGGAAACAACCATCATGCCTTTTATTTCGGGATATCAAAATTTTATCACGCCACAACACATACGATTTACAGTGCTCATAAATAGACAACACCACTCTGTGCTGATCTTATCTTTTTTTTTTTTTTTCTTATATTACATAACTATGGTCTCTCCTGTTTCATCAAAATATGCCATTTATCAAAGTGATAGTGAAGTGGTAATGCATGTCGCAATATGAAGATCTACCGAAATCTGACCCTTCTTTATTTATAGCGAGCCAAAGGTATTATTAAAGATAATGCACCAATGCGTTTAAGGATGGAGGCTTTTGTAAAGCATCTTCAAAAGACTATCTGTGAAGGAATAGAAGAGGTTGACGGCAAGGGAAAATTCACTCGCTCCGTTTGGGAACGTCCAGAGTTTGGCGGTGAAGGCATCACCTGTGTTCTGTCCGATGGTGCTGTCATGGAAAAGGCAGGTGTTGCCGTATCTGTAATCTACTCTGAACTGACTCCAGAAGCCATTCGACAAATGCGTGAGGACCGTGGTAAGGATATTGACGCTGATGGTGTCGTCCCTTTCTTTGTCACTGGTATTTCGCTCGTCATGCACGCAAAGAACCCAAATGCGCCTACGGTCCATTTGAACTATAGATACTTTGAAGTCATGAACCCCGATGGTACTCCAAAACTTTGGTGGTTTGGTGGTGGTGCTGATCTGACTCCTGTTTATCTCTATGAAGAAGACGCTGTTCACTTTCACAAAGTCTATAAGGAAGGTTGTGACAAGTTTGATAAAGGCTATTACCCTCAGATGAAAATGGCGTGCGATAAATACTTTTTGAATGTGCATCGAGGAGAGGCACGGGGTATCGGTGGTGTCTTCTTTGATGACTTCAATTCCAAGCCAGCAGAAGAGATATTCGCGTTTGTAAAAGAACTTGGTTACAGATTTTTACCATCCTATGTGCCCATCTTGGAAAAGCGAAAGGATATGCCGTTTGATGATGAAATGGTGCGCTGGCAACAGATACGTCGTGGTCGATATGTCGAATTCAATTTACTTTGGGACAGAGGTACCAAGTTTGGCTTGTCTTCCCCTTGTTCTCGTGTTGAATCTATCTTGATGACACTTCCACTCACCGCTCGTTGGGAATACATGCATGAACCAGAACCTAATTCAAGAGAAGCTGAGCTTGTCAGTGTGCTGAAGTGTCCTAAAGACTGGATTGCTCACTAGTTTTTACTGTATGTAAAGTTGATTGTTTTATTTTAATGTGTATTTTTTGTACAGAATAAAGAAGAGAAAAATAAATAAATACATTCTATGTGAATTATAAGTTCTGGTTTTTTACTCTATCATTTGTGCTGAGACCCTTCCTTCATCTACACTACATATTCGCACTTTTGCAATCTCTCCTATCTGCACATTTCTTTTTAGTTTGTCAATACGAACAGGAATTCCCAAATCCAATAGTGTGGCATCTGCTACTTCTATCGCGCCTCCAAGTTCATTCAGGGCGACGCGGTTGTCAGCTGCTATAATGCAGTCCCATTCCATTGTGCTCAAAAATCCGTCGACATTCATTCGCTGAAGCAATTGCATTATCCAAAAGCGCTGAGACTGCTGTTGAAGACCAGAGAGCTGCTTTGTACGTGCTTCTAGTGCAGGCAGCAGTTTGTCCAAATAGTCCTTGCTAAACGGCTCTTTTTCTTTCAGCAGACTTGCCTTTAATTGCCAATGAATGATAAGATCACCATAACGTCGTAAAGGAGAGGTAGTTTTTGTATACCCATCCATAATACCCATGATCACATGAGGTTGATCAGGTGTTGTACCAAATGTAGCAGGAGGAAGTGCGGCTCTAACCTTTATCATGTCTTGATATCTTACAAAACCTGTTATTGGATCCCGAGCTGCATATAGTTCTTCTCTTTTGCGAAGGTCCTCAGGTGATGAATCAGGCCTCCACTGTTGTCCACGATAAATAATATTGACTCCATTATCCCTGGCAAATTTGCTGGCAATACGTCCTCCGATGATCATCGTTTCTGCTACCATCAGGCGTGCAGGGGAGAAAAGTGATTTATCCAAGCTGACTTGTATTGGTGGTAAATGTGAAGCGTATTCAGGCTTTGAGAATCGGAGCGGAGGCAGGCTTAGGTTGTCCAAAACCCGCACGACAGGTGATGGTGAGGCAAAGGCAATAGCTCCACTGCGAGTACGAGCTGCGGTATGCTTATCGGCAATGTCAAGGATGTCAAGGATATCATTTTTATAGCGTGGTGAAAATGTTGAATGCTGTTGAATATCATTCTGGGTAAATGTAGCACTGGAAGGATGTGAGAATGTCTTTGAGAGGTTGATAAGAGGGTCTTTCTTTATTTCTACTTTTCCTTCCAGGAACTTGTCTAAGTCATCATAGTATATCTTTCTCACATTTCTCACCAAGCTTGGTCTCACTTTGTAATCCAAAAGATTGCCTTGATTATCAATTTTGGCACTAAATGTGAAAGCATATTGCGAACCATGTTTGTTCTTTTGAGCTGTTGAACCTAAACTGAACTTTTTACCAGATAAAGTGTCGGACAGCATAGGGAAATGACATTCAGGTAAATAGACTGTCTGTACTTTCTGCTGCATGTTCTGTGCTAGTTCATGTGTAGGAGGGATGTATGTCGTAGGATCGGCAATGTGCACATGAAGCCAGGCGTTGTCACCAGGGATTCTTTCAATAGAGACACCATCATCAATTTCTTTGGCAGATGGATCATCAATTGTGTACACAGGCAAATCACCAAAATCATGTCGGATTGACTCACAGGCGTCATGAGGGTAGAGACCTCTATAGTCTCCAGCCAAGAATGCTTTGGTATATTCTTCCATTTTCCTATCATTTTCTTTTGCCCTTTCTGACCAGTATGATTCGCCGATTTGTTCTGTTTCCTGCACTAAAAGAGTGTTTGACCATGGTTTATACATGCCAATTTCTTTCAGAAAACGAACAGCCAAAGGTCTATCCACAAACAGATTATCATAATATTTCAAACCTTTCAGAATCGCTGGTACAAAGATTTCATAAGGTGACTCGATCACTACTCGTGGAGAACGGATCCAGTTGGCAATAAAGTTTATGAATTTCTTATCGGATGCTGTCAGCTGGTTGGCATACATTGGCACCATATCAATACTTGATCGAGACAGGGTTCCCAGGACGGGGTCGGCGTGTGTCTTGTAAAATTCCAAGATCCTTCTTGCCCTTTCAAGAAAGTCTGTGTACGTCTTATCATTGCTTCGAATTGCCGTAATAATTTTTGAGATCTCAGTTGCCTCAGCTTTAGATCGAACCTTCCACTCTTCCGATCCTAGTACGTTATTTGTAGGTGTAAAGTGAACGTTATCAGCTGCTAGGTAAGAAAAGGTAACATGACGTTGTAATGAGGTGATGTCGGTTGTCTGAAAGGCATAAGCGGTTAGATCGTTTAGTGATACTGTGTTGGAAGACGATTGACTGAACTGATTGTATAAACGCTCTAGTCTTGGAAAGGCGATCGCCTTGTTAGCTCTCACCAAAGACTGATATCGGGTAATAGCTCGTTGGTATTCTACAGGAATGGTTTGAAGAATGCCCTCAGAATTAATTTCCGGACTTAAGCCTTGAGGACAGATTTTGGTCACTTCAGGTAGTTTATGAAATGAAGGAATGACAAATGCGACATGATCACTTCTCGATGTATAGATTCTGCCATTTCTTAGCAATATCGTCAACATTTGCAACCTGCCACTCATCTTTCTTTGGCCCACAACCATACCACTTCGTTGCCCTGTCCTATTTCATGTTAATCGATCAAGCCATATGCTTATTATGTTGTGTGTATACCTAAATACTTCGACATAATCACCAATTTTAATAGTAGGCAGCTGTACGATCTCTAGCGCAGTTGACTCAGAACCGAGTTTAAGTTCGACAGAGTCTTCTTGTAGTTGGACGATGGAAGGAATGATTCTCTCTGCATGCTTTTGTCGAATGGCCAACTGTGGGGCTTGGCGAAACTTGGCAGAGTGTCGGATAGCTTGGCGAGCTATCAGTCTAAGCATAACAAATTAACAATGAAAATAAAGAAAATAAAAAAAAATAGTCACTTTGTCCTCCCTTGCCTAATCCTGTGTTCCTGCTTGTTTCGAGCTCCTCCAATGTTTACTTTGCCCCTCTTTTTGATTTCATTTTTCATGATAAACAACATGAAACACAAAGATATGTCATAATTATTTATCGAGAATACCCGTTGTTTTTTAACTTGAAATAGGACAAATCACTTGATATACTCAAGTCCCAACGCTATGAGTAATCTCATTTACTTGTACCAAAGAAGAACATCCGCGCGTCAAGGAAAGCACTCGTAAGCGACTCTGTTTTGAAAAACTATTCTTTTTTTCTTGAGAAAACAAAGCAAAAGTGCAACATTTAATGTGACCAATAATTTTATTGTTCATACATAAAGGCAGTAAAGAGGGTGGTATCTTTTAAGCATTAAAGAAGAGATTGGCCTTGGGTGGTAACTTCACCATCAGCTTCGATGCTGTCAATATGAGGGCTTCTAAAAGACAAAGCGCTTACACTTTCATCAGGAACTTGAACGGAGAAACCCTTGATAGCAGTGTCATATCTGTGAATAATCTTGGCACCAGAAGCTTCGGCGGCCTTGATTTGTTCGTTGATGACTTCCTTAGGAGTATCATCTTTGAAGGTAACGATAAAAGTAGAAGCTAAAGACAATAAATATTTATATAAATACGCGTTAATGTATCCATATGTTATCTCTTACAGCTCATGTTAGTATATATTTATGCCTGTAAATAGAGTAAAGAAGAAAAGGGAGAAGAGAGCAAATGTTACTTTTTATACTCTTAGCGTTGTTTTGATTCTTTTTAAGCCAGATGATCACATGAAGCCATTGACCAATTAAATCAGCTATTTATTAAACAAGTGCGTAATCATGTTATGCATACAGCAGTTTCACTGCCAGTTGAGGATTCTCAGTCGACAACAATCTCTTGAGAATTGTTTTTCAGGCCTAAATGTTTATCTTGATGACACTTCAGCTTAAACAATGCATGATGACCAATTTTTTATTAAACCTTTGTTGCATAAAATGAATAAAACAATCTGTATGAACTTGGGAAATGATGAGTGGTATAAGCTATTTCATTGACCTTCAAGTTGAAGACGTGGATGTTTTATATTATCAAAAAGACAGGTCAATACTTTCAGGACTCTTTTATTCGATTATATGATAAGAGTATTTGTAGTCAATAATTTGAAAGTCTACTACAAAACTTGTAACTACATGCTTGATGAATTTACTTGTAGTTGATTATGATTCTACTCTCTTAACAACACTATGTTGTCTAAGGGGCCATTGTCGGTAATCTAACTTGTGGATTTATTCTTTACACACTTATTTTATTGTTGAACTAGATGCTTTTGATGTTTTACATGCTTTTGCTAATGAGCCTGAGCTTGATTCTATCGTTGACGGAAGTAAGAAATCATCGTCATCAGGGATAATTAGAGTAATCCGCCTTTTACAGGATTGTACCTTTGATAAAATATGTTTCGTAGTCTTAAAACCATTATGAGCAATACTTAATAAAGCAGGCAGTCTGGCAATATAACCATCATTGGAGGTGGAGTATGGTAACGCTTATAGACGCCTAATACATGTGTAACGTATCCAGCTGGTGTATCCATATTGATGAAAGTAAGTTTGTTGTCTAAAGAAGCGTGTAAGTAAATCTTAAGGAAGGTTACTTGTGATATATACATTCACCCTGAATGCTATAACCAATTATATTGATATCATTTCTCAAGCTAGCGTACTTATCAACGATATTCTCCGGAATATATTTCATGACAATAGGCATTTTGTAATATACATCTGAGAGATATCTTATGCTGTCATTTTTTCTGCTTCCAATTTCTAGAGCACCTGGCCCTAATCCCGCACCAAGAGACACGGAACCCATCTTTCTTTTAGCTGCTTTTCTTGTAATTTCTTCACATCATACGCACTTAATGGGTTGTATTTTGGAATAACAACAAAGATGAATGCTACATGCAACAGAAAATAAGCTATTGTTATAAGCGTTACCTATGGTGTCATCCAACAAATGTTATCAGTTCGTTCAGCTAACCAAGATCAATTCAAGTGTAATTATGATGACATCGTATTTTATATTAGACAGCATTACATGTAGTACCTAGAAGAAGCGCCCAGTAGCATTAGCCTATTTTCTGGGTGCATTTTCCGATGCATGCAGTGTTGGCCAAAAAGAAGATTTACGAACTTTAGTTCAAATTAAATGAATTTATTTTTTCACAGGCACAAAAATAACTTTTTACACTCAAATTGGCAGTCGAACCATTGGTAACTTGAAACTATTTATTTCTAGAGTTATTTCTTTTCTTGTAAGCGGGCTTCTTCCCATAAAGTATTTCCATTACAGGCACAGACTAACTTGGTATTCTCAAATGCACCAGCACTACGAGCAATAATACCACAAAGTAAACCATTTCCACTGTGACCATCCTCAGAGGAAGGGCTAAGGTCATCTTCATTCTCGGTGATAACCATACTTCGGCCTATCACGTCCCACACCTTGATACGATTACTCTCGATAACCAAGTCTCCCCAACCGTTCTCGTCTACTGTAATGTTGCCGAGGTCACCAACATGCCCGTTATGCATATCACCGTGGGGTCGATTGGTGGGATTATAGTGCTCTCCTGTAGACTTCCAGCCGCTAGATATATCACCTGATTCATGTATGTGAATGCCATGGTTACCCGGCGACAGACCTTCAACCGTGATATCAATCAAACAAGTATCCTCATCAACCTGAACAAACCTAGCTAAACCTGCCTTTCCTTTGGGTAAAGTGGCCAGAGGATCTGCTCCATAACAGTCAAAAATACAGACAGCAGCTCCAGAATGACCTTGACCATCGGGCACGCCTTGTCCTCGGACGATGACAGTTCGTCCTGTATCTTTTAATGCTTTTGACACCTTGGAAGGGGCAACTACATGATTGTTATTAGAGTTGTAGTTTATTATGGCTTTATATTCACTTGCCTGTTCCTTCCACAATCACTTTTTTTTCTGCGAGGTTTACGTCAAATGAATTTATACCTGGTAAATAAACAGTCAGGATAGAGTCAATTTATTTGATCCATATTTTGTTTGTTGTACCTGAAATGCCTTCTAATACTTTAGAAACAGCATTGACGCAAGACTATAGTTTGTTTAGGTTATACTCCTTTTTTGGAGGTTGAATAACATTACCTCACATGTCATGTCAACAGCAAATTCCGTCTATGAGGAATGTAACAGTCAGTCATCGAGACTAATGGTTCCATTATTTTATAGTTAACCTTGAATAACTTGGTTGGCATATTAAAATGTTTTATAATGTGTATATAAGTGCGTCTATGTAAAGAGAGAAAAAAAGGTTGAAAATGACAAGTTTGCTGCTTACAAATTACATTTAGGGTCCGCATTCCGAAAAATGAGACTCTTTAACAGGCATTTAGCAGTAATTATATTTGTCCTCTATCCAAAGCGAATTTGGACCATGTTGTTTTAAGCATACACACACATACATGAATGTAATTCCTATTCTATCAATTTTTAAGTCTATCCCGAGAATAATAAAGATATACTAGAGTTGCCTATACCCTACTGCCAGCAATTCTCTTTCTGGCTCTCTATCTATCTCTCTGTCTTCCACATCACGGCTTGATCTGCAAACTTGATCTGCAAGAGTGCACTTATGAGCTTTTTGTTGTTGTAAAGACTTGACTGACATTTAATTTTATTCAAAAAGTTTTATTTCCTCTTTTCACCCTTTCTCTCTCTCTTTTCTCTTGTTTATAAAAAAGATGTCAGCCAAAAGACCGTCAGATGCAGAATTAACACAAAAAGTATAGTCCCTTTTTTTTGTATAAAAAAAAGCGTAAACAATAGTTGACTCACTACATTAAAGTATAATCAATATAAAAATGAACTTCAGCAATTGGCTCAAAAGATTGGTGAATTGGAATCAGAAGTAGAAGAGCACAAGTAATAAACTAGACATTATGTATCGTTTATTTGCTCCTAATCTTTCTGTTAGACTGGTCATCGATAGTATTTCACCACTTGAACCAGATAGAAAGTGCTTTAGAATGGTGGGAGGTGTATTAGTCGAAAGAACAGTTAAAGAAGTATTACCTGCATTAGAAACAAACTACAATGGTGTATGTATATATTATATTATGTATATGTACGTGTCTAATGTTTTATATAGATCAAACAAGTGATCGAGTCATTGCTACAATCTTATAAGCGTAAAGAAGAGGAGTTTGTTGAGTTTCAAAAGAAATACAACATCCAAGTAGTATCAAAGCAATAAAGTAGTGTATTCATATAGAAGCCAATCACGATATTATAGCCTTACGCGTAAATTTATACACTTTTGAGTATGTATGTGTGTGACAAATAATAATTTACGTATTTTTCTCATTTATGGTCGTTTTGGATGAAAATACCTTATCATATCAAGGCTAAGGGCACTTAAATCACCATCGAAGTGATGACCTAAGGATCCAAGGGACCAATCAAAGTGGCTGTGAAGTGGCTTGATTACCGCCAGAAATTGATTCTCTTTTTAGAGAGGAATGTCTTGATAAAATACTATAATTTGACTCTATATAAGACACCAGGATGGAGCGAATATTCAAAGCAGCATTTATATCCTTTTGCCACACCCATTATTACTCATTAAAACTAATACTCTTATCATTTGTATTGCGCTTACGATATCACGATCATTTGCAGCTGGGCACAATTTGCAATGCTTCAGCTGATAAATGACCACAGAATAACCTTCAGATAAAGTTCAGTAATAGCCCTAGTATATGGCTTCATGCGTAATTTTACTTACTGCTGGGTTTTCTTAGTGAGCACTCCAATGCTCGACAAACAGTCCTCTTGTTATCGTCCAAACATAGTAGAGTAGCATTTGTCTCCCCTTGCTGACGAGCTTTCTTTTTCCTTTTGAACATAAAAAGTTAAAGTTATTTAATATTACAAATACAATGATCTGCTTACTTATGATTGCAAACAAGCTTTTGTCTTTTGTATTTGTTCTCAAGGCACTGGTGACATTTGGAACAGGTCACACTTGTCCTGAACTCATCAACAAGAATTATTAATGTCCTCTGGGCCAAAGCCCTTTGAACTTTCTGTATATAAAATGAACATTAGCCTATTCAGTAAAAGGATAAAGCTGCTATACTATTCTACAATGTATAATATATCTTCATAGTATATGAGCTCTATAGTAGTTTACTGCACTCATGAGAGGCCAATTTGAACCTGACAGTGATTTTTTCTACTTAGAACAGCAAGAACAATGATCTAATAGTGCATATCCTGATCCACCCACTTAACTTCCAATATCACAAGAGAAACGATTTTTGATAAATAGCTGGAAAACGAGCAATTATTATGATGCTGCAGGATCACGTTGGAATACGATCAATAAATAACCTACACCGATTGGTACACTTTCGAGTAAAAAAACACGATATTTTACAAGTTCATAACTAATGTCTAAACATAGACTTACAACAACAAGGCCATAGCGGATATTTTTATCAACCTCGAGCGTCATCAAACAAGACAATGTATGCCCAAAATACCTGGATGCCTCCTGAATTAATGAGTCAGCAAGAGGTAAAAAATTCAAAAATAAAACAAGTGTACATACAAATATAGGTTATAGCTCGGAGGATAGACTGGCTTTGATTGAAGAAGTTCTGGCAACTCGTCCGGATGGGTAAGTTTAGAAAAATACCTCCATATGTTCATCTGTTCATATTTCTCTAGTACGCCCACTCATGTCCATGATGAAAGATCAGTATGCAAATTATGTAGTCCAAAAAATGCTTGATGTAGTTGATGGATCTTAAAAAGACTTGCTGATTGCCAAAATAAAGCCACAACTTCAGGGCTTAAAGAAGCATACTTATGGAAAACACCTTATTAGCAATAAATGATATAGTTTTTTTTTCTTGGAGTACGTATATTTACTTTATGATAAGCATGTTTAGAAATTGAAAAGCAAATCATGTTTAGTAATAGCAGCAATAACAATAATAGTAAGAACCCTTTAATTGTAGAGAACTTGGGTATTGCCGAGCCAAGCTAATTATATACATATATTACATAATTGTATTCATTTCCTTTTTTGCCCCCTTTCTTTATTATAATTTGCTTTTTATCATGTATTTCAATTCTTCATTATATTCTTATTGCATATTACTAATCCACCCTTTCTCTTTATTTACCTTTTTATATAATAATATTCTTTTACAATACATGACACAGGTTTATAAGCTAATAAGACATGCAAAAAATGACCTTTAGATGGTTTTTATATATTTCATTTGCTGTATGATAATCACAATCTATTTATCGATAAGTTACTCAAAATGAACTAGAAAGATGTGGTAGCACAACACACAAAATATTAATTCAATTCAATTTCATTGAGGAGAAAGGATGACAACAGTTACTTGATTGTTTTCATTATTGCCTTCATTTTAAGCGTCGATGTAGTGATATAGTTCTTGGATGAAGAAAACATAGAGTTTATGAATCTTCCGAGACGATTGAAAGAGTAAGCAGGAAATACAGATGACCATGTCATGAGATTTTACATAAGTGAACATACTACCTACACTTACTGTATAGCCCCTTTTTCCTTAGACTAGCGCTAAAAATAAGAATGATCAACTAGATCATATGAAAGGTACTATTCCTAATATTGGTAGTTTTGATATAAGTTTTAAAAAGCATCATAGATTCATTTTATTTAATCAACTTGTATTTTTCTTTATTTGTCCTTTGCAGAATACCTTCATTACACATTTTGATTACATGTTCCGTGATTTGATTAAAGGGAAAGCTATGTTTCTATTTAATCAATAACAAGTCTACAAGGGTCAATTTGTCACTTACCGTTCCTTTATGATCCTTTCTGCTTTTTTATGAGACCCACTATCATAGAGACTTTCCTTAATTCCCAAGGAAAGAGCCCTTCAGTTGGTAGGCTACCAAGGTTGCCCTTTACGCTTTGCGTCAGTAAACGCATACGTGAAACTTCCTAATGTCTTTAGAAAGATAAATGTTTGAATTATAAGCAAGCATAAGCTAGTGTAGCATTTACTTATAAGCAGCAAACAGTAAAGAGTTCATTGACAACATTTACAATTAGAAAAGAAAGGAAAACCAATAAATGAGGGTACAGTATTAATATTTGTATTGAGAAGTGACTGTGGATGCCTGATTGTCGTATTTGAAGAGATATATTATGCAATACAGTGCTTCTATGCTTTATGGCAACACCTTGATGAGTGGGTAGAGAGCTTAGGAAGAAAATCAATACCAATTGGTGTTTAATTGTATGACGGATCTAATTATATTCAACAGTGAAAAAGCCTGCTACTTGTATCCTTGGAATCTTGGAACCATTAGCAAAAAGATAATGTGACTTATGTTATCAGTATTAGCGAAATTCTTGCTGATAAGGGAAATGTTAAAAAGGATTGCCAAATTATCCTACAGAACTATTACGTAAATCAAAAACATTGGATCATAATCACAATTAGACAAAGCGCTAGTGTGATATGTCTCGAATGAATAAAGAAGTGATAAGGAAAATATGTGCCTCTTTATTCAGATTGAGACGAGAGGGAAAGAAAGGGAGAGCTCATTGTTACAAACAGCGTCATTTTATATGAAGACAGGACTGTTAAGGAACCGATGTAGTTATGGCGTTACATATGCTAATAACATGTATTGTTGTCAGTCTCTTTGTACGATGAGTTTAAGCATTTATAGGGTAAATACGACAACTAGGATTAATGTTGTCAAGCTCTTTGAATTCATCTAAAGAAGAGAAGTCATATGTCTGTCTTTTGAATTGAGCTATTTGTGTGTGTTGCAATGTAACAAGGTGACTGAATTGGTTAGCTTTGAGACGAAGCATATTTACTACTATACTTGACTATAGTTAACACTTGTAGTAGAAGTAGCAGATTGCTCATTTGAATACATTTGCTTTTTAGAAACAGTACTACGCTTATTTGTTTTTCAATATCAATAGAATATGCTTTTTTGACTTGTAAATAAGGCATCTTCAAGTGGCATGTGTTTGTTGATGGGAGCATGTATATTCTCATTAGTCGTGTTGTTACTGGTGGTAAGCCTGCTTTTGTTATACTTTACAATAACTGCAAGGAATTTGCTTTGGAATTTTGAAATGTACAACCAGCTAATAAGCAATGTAATCAAAGTAGGATCAAGCTTGGCAATTTATTTATTTTTTCATTTAAATGATATAAAAAAGACTAGAATCTTCGTTCACCAAAGCTATTCAAAATAGCTTGGATCCATCCCCCACAGGACGTAGACCTGTTCTAGCATCGCGGAGGAAAAAAAGAAAAATAGACCCTTGAGCCCAAAATTGTTGATAGCACCGGGACCAACGTAAACAACGCCAAGTATAGAACGCGAATGCTGTACTACCTATGGTGAGGCCGTACTCTATACCTATAGCGGTCGCTGAGGTCGTACTACCAGAACGCAAATGGAGGGTCTACCACATAATGAATGGCAGAGTCGACTTGGTTGCGGAGTCTTCCCTTGAAGGCACTCTATTCGGCGCTAGGAGTATTGTTCACGATAAGCCCGCTGAAAACACCCCATAAAAACCCTACTTTTTGTCCGTGCTACTCTACGCGATCGAGTATTTCACACGTTAATGAAAAGATCGTCAAGAAGTCATAATGACCTGCGCTTGAGGTTGAGGTTGAGACACACACGTATGTCATGCGAGAATAGAGTACCAGCTATCCAAAATGTGAGAGGTGAAGAAAAAAGAAAACTTTGAGTAATTACACTTTTTATCCACAGAATTCAAAATATGCCCCCCAAAATTTGGGCGTTGCTGAATGTTTTGAGAATGCGCCGGATCCTAAAAGTTTTTATAACTGGGATATCCCGAGTATATCCCGGTGCCTGAAAACATCCCGAAAATGAATGCAACTTAACAAACTCCAAGTTTCTTTATATAAGCTTGTAGATATCTATCTGTAAGATAACTTGAGGTAGATTTAGGATGTAAAAGACAAAGGACAGGGGCAAACAAGTATTTGTGAGAATTCGTTTATTTCTGAGAATTGAGATAATGGAAAATACAACGAAGAAGAGGGCTCCATTTATATTTTTTGATGTGGGTTAAACCAAGGTACGATTTGATTCGTTCTGCTACGATAATGGTTAAAGCTGTGGTTCCTGGCTTACGACAATGATCTGGGTGATTACTAAATTACTCTAATTGGTTATTCTTATTGTAAAGACTACACATCGGAATAGTGCTCATAAATCACTTTATATTCCTTATTGACTACGCACAGACTCTGTCTTAACCAATTATGGAAATTGTAATCTTCATTCTATAACAATCTGAAGTATCGTTTAAAGCTTTTCTGACGCTTTTTCATAAAGAATCCGTAGAGTTATTTACACACAAAGTTTCAATCCGAAAACATGTTGTTTTTAGAACCAAATAAAGTTCAATGAAAAAAATTTAGACAGGTCTGTAATTTGAGATGAGGAGAGATGACTTTGTTGTACTTTTTATATATAGCTTTTATTTTTACTAGTATTTATATACCTTTGTAAATTTAATGATAAATGTATCATTTCTAGATGAAAAAACTCGAGAAAGGAGGAGTGGGAACTGTTTATTAAAGATGTCGTATGATGCTGTCAACGAAGCCCCAAAATCTTCTTATGCTACGTTTTTAACCTTTTTTCTCATCTTTTTTTTAGACCAATATTTTCAGACGCGATGCTTGAAGGTGATACTCATTATTACGACACCCATCCCAATAGCTTTGAGAATGTTTGATCCACCCTTGACAGTTTTCAACAGCAACTGTTTTACATGCCTCAGAAATTCGAGATGTGGGCTTGGAGTTCTTTATCTAACGGATTTCTTTTAATATGGCTCTTGATTTTGGGCCAGCATTTTTTAACTGAGTTCAAGAAAGGAGATTATGGATGTAAAAATAAAGGCTTGTATCCTCTTTTGTTAATAGCATCCAAAGCAAAAGAAGAGTGACGAATTCTGCGGTTATCCATGACAATATAAAATCCTTGCTTTTCATGTCTATCCAAAACATTCATGAAAGTTTCAAAAAACTTGACAATGTGATAGACTGTGGTGCCTTTTGTTAGGCGTTTCTTCTTATCCTCTTCATCTACGTTAGCTTTTCTTTTCTTAGAGGCTGGCTGTAGGTAGCTCTTTAGTTTTCAGTACCGCCTCTCTTCAATGGCTCGACTTTCGAAAAATTAATTGTGACAAAGAGTAAATGCAGCCAACAATGTTTATATTTACTCTTTTCTATTGTGTATTTTAACATTAGCTGGATATTCAACCTTTGACTAAGTTCGACCTCTTATCATTTGAGTGTGGAAACCTGTCTCATTAAAGATATTTCTTTGCATCTTACATAAAGCGTGAACTTGTACATATTTCGAGTCCTTTTGAGGTTCCTTCGAGGCCTTGAGGAAAGTACAAGCCAATCACTTATTCCTAGAACCATTGATGAGTCAATATCTTGCCTTTCATGTTGTGTCATATACAGTAATCTATTAGCAACCAAAGCTGCTAAAAGCATCGAGCTCTATAAAGAATACAAGGATGCCAATACTGTACTAGAAGAACTTGAATCACAGTACAAGTATGTTATAAAAAAGGTATCTAAATGCGAGTTATTAATTACCTCATCTAGCAAAATACTTGGCATATATAAAGATGTATTTAACAATGATACCTTTGGATTAATATCTGATTATACATACGCCAAAAAAAAAAAAAACTCTGCGAAACTTGTACGTTTTAGTGCAAAATTACTAAAGGAAACAACATCAAAGCCGGAATTAAAGTTCAAGACGTGATATACTATGCCTAGGCCAAGCAGTAGCATGCGTAAGCCATATATGAGTATTATCAAAAATTATTAACGACAATAACCATTGATAGTGTTTGTGCCGCCAACTGGCGTTCATGCAATGCATGGTGTCCTCAAGAGAGATTTCAACACTGGTCTAAAAATTTGGTTTTATTTTAATAGAGGAAAAATACAAAGAGGTAAAGAAAGCATTGGAAATAATAGTGTTTATATTAAGATAAATCAGGAAACAACTTTCGTTTGCTTTTTTAGTATTTTGTAGCTCTGTTCATTATTTACATTATCGCCTCAAGAGAAAAACTAGGGATAAACATAAGTTAGAGTGAAAGGAACCGAATAAGCAGATAACCTCTATCTCTACTATGACATACAAAGAGAGATGGATGAACCTTTGTCCAGCAGCTTACAAGTGAATGTTTGACGAATTCGCCCAACAGAACAGTCTCAAGCACGAGAACGCTGAACATATCTGAAACAGTGCAAAGCCAACAGCATTCATTTATCAAGATTTGTAACAAGTACACAAGGACCAAATACTAGAGCTTCTCAGGAACATGGGTCATCTCCAACCAAATTGTGGTTTGTGGATTTTACGCCAACAAGGAGATGAGCAAAGAAACAGCCGAAAAATTTACACATGAAGCCATGGCCATTGCATCTTGAAAAATGCTGCTTCCACCAAACAAAGTAATTATGGGAAAGGTTTCAGAAAATGAGCCTTCTTCAATGAAAGAGGAGATGAATTTACAAACAGAAGACAAAACATGGTTTCTTTTGATTATGTGAATAAAATATTCTTCCGCAAATCTTCCAAACGATTTGGGACTAATATCCTCCTTTATACTTTCAGTAAGTTCAGCAGGATCAACAGCGACATCTTCAGTGACCTTCTCTGCTTGCATAAATTCATTAGAATTGGATACAATAGTTGATTATAAAACTTTTCTAAATATTTTCTTACAAAGCCATATTGTATGGTTACGCTCACTACACCTATAACATTCTTTAGTAACCAGTGCTGTCTTTGATGTTTTGATTTAAAGTAAGACAGTATGGACCATATAAAAGACTTCAGAGAGAGAGAGAGAAAAAAAAAAGCTGAATTCTGGTAAGGGGGAGCATCGTCACGGCCAGAAGCTAAGCCATGATAACTGATTTTTATTAAATATCATTAAGCAATGACAGCTTGGCCATGTTCGACATTCAGAAACAACATTTCAATAAGATCTGAAGTAGGGTTCCTGTTGTAAACATTGATGCAATTGCGCCACAATTTTACCAATCTGTTCTTAAATGACATGATAGGTTTTCATGTCATGGCTTGAACAACTGGTGGGAGAAAAGAGAAAACAACAGCTTCTGGTGTAAGAGTCTGCTAAATGATCGCTGCAACTCTACGATTCATAATTTCTTTGAGAAGTCAAGATTTCCATAAGTGGCATGTGGGACAGATTTCAGAGCTTCGGTGTTTTGAGATTATTTCTGCTAACTGCAAGTACTCACCTGTTAATACTCTTGGTAACGACAGTAAACTAGGTTATTTCACTCTTCAAGGTATATGAGGACGTCTACTCTTGACTATGAAGTTGCTCAGCGCTTGAGGATAATGAAAGGATTTGATTGGCTCAACTCTGTAAAACATACGTTTTTGTATGAGTTGCGTAACAAATACTTCAGCGAGTACAAAAAAAATAGTGTACAGTAATTTTAAAAATTAATGCCGCACCAAGATGCCGTTTGTATATTTTGTAATAAAAATTCAATTTTTGCGACAATGCTTTCTAGAAATACTGTACAGTTTTTTTAAAAAGTAAAGTCGCATTTTTACAATTTTATAGAATAATTTATACGAAAAAGCGACAAGTCAGCGCAACATCTCTTTCTGGAAATGGTATAACATTTCAATAAAAAACAAAAACAAGCATTATGTAACCTAAAGATGCCAGAATTATATGATTAACAGCTGTCAATTTACGATTGGTTTACAAACTTCAAAAAGGAAATGATTAGTTTGCAAAAAAATTTGTGGCTGGTTTCAAATTCTGTAAGTATAAAAGGAGGAGATTTTTTCTTTTTTTTTTTTCTTCACCTCTCACATTTTGGGTGGCTGGTACTCTGTTCTCGCATGATCATTTTGATAATGATCGTCCCTTCGTTACGTGTGTTAAACACTGTCTCGGCGAGCTTTTCGTTAACGTGGTGAATCTTATCAGTAGTATCCACGTACAAAAAGTAGGGTTTTTATGGGGTGTTTTCAGCGGGCTTATCGTGAACAATATCCCTAGCGTCGAATGGAGTATCTTCAAGAGGCCTGGTTGCACCTCTGCCATTCATTATGTGATAGACCCTCCATTTGCGTTCTGGTAGTACGATCTCAGCGACCGCTATAGGTATAGAGTACGGCCTCACCATAGGTAGTACAGCATTCGCGTTCTATACTTGGCGTTGTTTACGTTGGTCCCGGTGCTATCAACAATTTTGGGCTCAAGGGTCTATTTTTCTTTTTTTCCTCCGCGATGCTAGAACAGGTCTACGTCCTGTGGGGGATGGATCCAAGCTATTTTGAATAGCTTTGGTGAACGAAGATTCTAGTCTTTTTTATATCATTTAAATGAAAAAATAAATAAATTGCCAAGCTTGATCCTACTTTGATTACATTGCTTATTAGCTGGTTGTACATTTCAAAATTCCAAAGCAAATTCCTTGCAGTTATTGTAAAGTATAACAAAAGCAGGCTTACCACCAGTAACAACACGACTAATGAGAATATACATGCTCCCATCAACAAACACATGCCACTTGAAGATGCCTTATTTACAAGTCAAAAAAGCATATTCTATTGATATTGAAAAACAAATAAGCGTAGTACTGTTTCTAAAAAGCAAATGTATTCAAATGAGCAATCTGCTACTTCTACTACAAGTGTTAACTATAGTCAAGTATAGTAGTAAATATGCTTCGTCTCAAAGCTAACCAATTCAGTCACCTTGTTACATTGCAACACACACAAATAGCTCAATTCAAAAGACAGACATATGACTTCTCTTCTTTAGATGAATTCAAAGAGCTTGACAACATTAATCCTACCATTCAAACATATGTTAATGAAGAAAGTGGCACAGAATACGCAATAGTGGCTGAGGATTCCGCTTTCCAATATGGAAATATCACCAAGTTAGAGATATTGACACAGTTTCTGTGCCTGACTATAAGATGGAAGACACCATTGAGGGAATTTCTTCTGAGCTACAGAAGGTTTTTATCAATAATCATAAAAATCAATACAAGAAATACACTTAAGAACAAATTTGGATTTTTATCGTACTAATGCAGGAAGGAGGTATGGCTATGCCAACGGTTGTTAAGCAGCATATGATTTCTCGTAGCAACGCATGCAGGTCATTCAAAGAGTTCAGCTTGAGTAATAGTACGGTTTTACCCAGAAGTGCGTCAAATAAAATTAACAAAGGCACGCCTCAGAAGCTCTTTACCGAACACAGTCAGTTTTTGATGGATTATTTTGATAAGCACCCATCCTCCACACTTGGTTTGGCTAGAGAAGAACTGTTTTTTCATTTTGAAGGCTTGGTCATCTTACTCACTGCTTTATGGAAACATTTGACGGAACATCACTTTTTCTCTTTGAAACAAGCATCGAAGTACAATTTGGATAGAGATGTTGAAAGAACCATCCTTCTTTGTCATGAAATCGTAAACAAATGGATAGAGGTAGGTGTAGATTTCCAAAAGAATTGCGTTGTTATCAAAATAAAATAAGATTACATAAATTGACTAGGTTATTTTAAATTACTGTATAATGGAAGAAGTATAGCTATTCGATATTGCTACGTGCAAACGGTCCAAGACAGGCATGCTATATAAATATTCTATTGAAAACCGTTTGGTGTTAAAATAGTACATATTATAGTGCCTACCTTTTGTTTCAGGAGATATTCTTGTGGAATCAAATGCTTCAAAACGATCATTGATATTCTTGGAGAATCTCTGCATACATTTCATTAGTGATTAAGAATTTGATATAGCTCTGACTTACAATTCTTTCATTACGCTTGTATTTGTCGTCTGCTACTTTTCGATACAAATGAGCCCAAAACTTGGGTGTCGTAATCAACGGAAAGCCACTGCTAGAAATCCCATTTTCAATTCATTTTCTCACTATAAAGAGACCAACGTTCATTGCATCTGCTCTCAAAATTGAGAACTCTTCTGATACTTGTCGAAGTATTTGTTATGTATAAAAATATAGCTATTAAAACTATCCATAACAGTAAGGTGATTATGACTTTAGATTTTATTCTTACATGATATTCTTTATAGTTATTTTTTAATAATAAAGATAGTTTGCATCTTCTCGAAATATATTTATCTGAAAGATTTAGGACAATGTCTTCAATGGTTTTTTGTTTTTTAGGTACATAGCTGTACAAGATATTGACCTCGATTTAATTCTTCTTAGAAAAAAGATGATTAGACAGAGTACAGTGAAAATCGTGTTAAATGGTGTGTAAATGATGGCAATAGCACCATTAATCGATACAGTCTCTGTCCTGATAAAACGCAAACAGGTATATCTGCCAAACTTCGAACGCTTAAAATTTGTTCTAACTTAATCATTTACAAAATAGGCTATGCCCCCATTGTATACCTGTTAAAACTTTGCAGACAGTGTTCAGCTAGTAATGCTTATGGTGAAAACTTAGTTGCTTTTGTTTAGTTACAGCTAGTTAGGTACTGATTATTCTATTTTAATACTGTCAACCTCATCCAGTGATAGGCATAGAGCCGAGATGTCAATACAGCATTGAACATTCAATCGATTCTTGCAGAATATGTTAATAATAACTGTAATATTAGATCAAGGAATGCTGCATTTAATAGAGTACTTTAACCAACATTATTAAACAGCCACTTGGCCCTTTTGCACTAGTAAGTATTTTATTCTATTCTGATTCGAACAGAAAATACTAACGTCATCATTATCTTGTCCAATCAAAAAATTCTGGGGTGATTTAAGTGAGTGCTTATAACACGCCAGAACTTTTTTTTTTTTTTTTTTCGACCATCAACAGGGTTTACAAACTATTAGAAAAAAGGAAGCTGTGTCTCCTTGGATTGGAAAAAAAATAATATGCTAATCAGACACCTTTCTTCTTCAAGGTCTGTTATTGTTGATGTCATTAGAGCCATTTTATCCCGACCCATGTCAACCGACGCTGCTCGTCCTTCGAAGTATCTTCCACATCGACATCCATTGACAGCATGGAATCATGTCAAAGGATCCACTTATAAATACAAGAGCAGACTGCTTACAACGCAGGTGCAATCGTTCTTAGAAAGCAGGCTAGATACAAAAAAAGATGATGCGAATGATCTGACAGCTGATGATGCTCAGGGGAAGCACCATAAAAGTCAATATTCACCGAGATTTATCCCTGTAAAGAGAAAGACAAGCGACGGGAAAGAGTTTATAGTGAACGGATGTACCATGAAGCAGAAAAAGAAAAAACCAAATACAGTACACGAGTACAACCGGCTAATCGTCTTCGCCATTATGGAAAATAGAATCAACAAAGCGATAAAGTACCTGCGTGAGATGGAAAACCGCCGTGTGATGCCAAATACACGTACATATACCCTAATTATAAACGGATACTGCAAGCAGTTAGATATGACCAGAGCCCTCAAGTGGCTGAATCGTATGTTGCAAAGAAAATATAAGCCAGACGTTTATATTTATACCAGTTTAATCGATGGTTATATGCGAGGCGCGGATATTGATAAAGCAGAAGATATATTCCGGAATATGATGAAAAGGGGAATTAAACCATCGTTAGTGACGTACAATGTGCTCATGTATAATTCAGCTCGACAGCTTAATATGAAATCAGCCTTGATGTTTTGGGGAAAGCTATTAGAAGCAGGACTAAAATCAGATGTATATACATTTGCCATCATCATACACGGATTGGGACTTGAAAGTCGTATAGACGAAGCTTGGAAAGTGTTTGAATTGATGAATGCTCAAAATGTTGGTATCAATGAAGTTGTGGCAACAACGCTCATGGGAATGCACGTAAAGCATAATGACAATGAACACGCTATCGAGTTATTCAACAAGTTTTTCAAACAAAATACGGCCTATAGACTGAAGCCCACGAATCACACTCGCAACGTCTTGTTGAATGCAATTATTTCCAAAACAGATGTCGAGACAATTAAAAAATATTATGAAGAATACACACAGTCACTCTCAAAATCTACGCCAACAGAGTCACCATACTTCCTTGGCGCTAATGTTTATACATATACATCCTTCATGCGTGCTTTCTTACGACACGATGATTTGTCCATGGTTGCCAAAGTCTATTCTGATATGAGAGCACGAAATATCCAGCCAACCCTTGTTACCTACTCCACTCTTATGCTGGCTCACGCCTTTGTTCCAGATCCAGTATCATGTCAAGCCATACTTGAAGAATTAAGAAAAGGTGGGGTACAGCTTAATGTTGTGTTATATACCATTACTATGCGGGCATGGGCTAAAGCAGGCAGCTGGGAAATGGTAAAGAATACTTACAACCTAATGAAGCAAGATAATATTGAGCCAAGTAAAGCCACCATGGAAGTTTTACGATGGGCAAGGTCCATGAACGATAGTGTATAGAATAATGTCTTTTTGCTGTAAATAAAAAAGTGTCTGCAAATATATACAATTACAGATATTTTATTTATAAATGTATTGTTCTACCCTTGCCAGTTCAAAGAATGAAAGGAAGTTCTAAAAACCCCTCTGAACTTGAGAGCAAAAGTGCTATGAATTGGAGAGAGGGGCATAGAGGTGAATCTCAGAAAGGGAGGCTATTGAAAAGATAGTAAGTAGAACTCAGGATATTCGTTAAGATCAAGACATCCTTTGTTAGCGAGAGAATTGGCTACAGCCTGCTTTACAGTGCCATTAGGATGATCGAGGACACGAAGCATATGAAAGATAAAAAGACCACGTATGGCGCGCGTCCTGCCTGCTTTGCCCTAGTCATCGTATCGTCGAAATGGGTTTCTTAGGAGCAGTGATGTTGGGCGCGTGAGCAAACTGCTCAAGGAGGGAAGCGTTTTATTGTTTGAGTCGGATAATTTTAGCCTTGGATGCAGCGAATTCTGCTTGTAGTTGCTTTACAAATATACGCGCTATTTCCAGAAAGAAATATCGTTCCAGGATGTTGTATTTTGTATATTTTGTATTATAAATTTTTGAACTATGCGACGTTACAAAAAAGTCTATTTGAAGCTCACATAAATATGGTAGGCATAGGATCTGATAAAGTCTATTTACAAGAAAAGATGTTGCTTCATTTGCATCAAATATGAAATAAAGAGAAAAGAAAAAAGGATCTATTGATTGTAGAATGCTTCAGTGGTGATGCTCAAATGGTTTATAAAATAGGACTGACACACATAAGAAATCCGAACTAAGCTGACAGAGTTAATTAAGGATAACATCTGCATCAATAATTATCCAAGTCATCTTACAGAGCTGGGTATAGCGGTTCTTAAATTTAGAAATTGCATCACAGTTTACCCTGGAAGCCAAATTTATTTTGAGTCTCAAAAAATTTTGTCCCTTCCCTTCTCTTTCGTAGGAAACATGACTTTCATTCGTGCTCTTGCTTCGGGTTCTCGCAACGCCCTTCGTACCCAGAAGGTTAATGCTGCTACTATTACTCAAACTGCCATGAAGGCTACTTCCTTCAAGGGTAACTTTTTTCAATTATCAAAATTATATAAATACTGACATCTATCTTTAGCTCGTAACTACGCTACTGAAGCTACCTCTGCTGGTAAAATTCGGTAATGCAGCAATAAACAACTATATCATATATGCACACAACGCTGACACAGTATAAATATAATAGTTCTGTTATTGGTGCCGTTGTCGATGTCCAATTCGAACAAGAAAACTTGCCCGCCATTTTGAATGCCCTTGAAGTTCAAGATCACGCTGGTGGACGTCTTGTTCTTGAAGTTGCTCAACACTTGGGTGAAAACACTGTCCGTACTATTGCTATGGATGGTACCGAAGGTAAATATAGAAAGTAACTTATTTGACGTGTTTCTCATTGAATTATTAAAAAGGTCTTGTCCGTGGTCAAAAGGTTATCGACACTGGTGCTCCCATTACCATTCCTGTTGGTAAGGAAGTCCTCGGTCGTATCATCAACGTTATTGGTGAACCCATTGATGAGCGTGGTCCCATCAACTCCAAGGCTCAACGTCCCATTCACGCTGATGCTCCCGAATTCGTTGACCAATCCCCCACTCCCGAAATTCTTGAAACTGGTATCAAAGTCGTCGACTTGTTGGCTCCTTATGCTCGTGGTGGTAAGATTGGTCTTTTCGGTGGTGCTGGTGTCGGTAAGACTGTGTTGATTCAAGAGTTGATCAACAACATCGCCAAGGCTCACGGTGGTTACTCCATCTTCTGTGGTGTCGGTGAACGTACTCGTGAAGGTAACGATCTTTACCACGAAATGATCCAAACTGGTGTCATCAAGCTCGATGGTGACTCCAAGTGTGCTCTTGTCTTTGGTCAAATGAACGAACCCCCTGGAGCTCGTGCCCGTGTTGCCTTGACTGGTTTGACCATTGCTGAATACTTCCGTGACGAAGAAGGTCAAGATGTGTTGCTCTTCATTGATAACATTTTCCGTTTCACTCAAGCTGGTTCTGAAGTATCTGCCCTTTTGGGTCGTATCCCCTCTGCTGTCGGTTACCAACCCACTCTTTCTACTGATATGGGTGGTATGCAAGAACGTATTACAACTACCAAGAACGGTTCCATTACCTCCGTCCAAGCCGTCTACGTCCCTGCTGATGACTTGACCGATCCTGCTCCTGCTACCACTTTCGCTCACTTGGACGCCACCACTGTCTTGTCTCGTTCCATTGCCGAATTGGGTATCTACCCTGCCGTCGATCCTCTTGATTCCAAGTCTCGTATCTTGGATCCTCGTATTGTCGGTGAAGAACACTACAAGGTTGCCACTGAAGTTCAACAAATCCTTCAAAACTACAAGTCTCTTCAAGATATCATTGCCATTTTGGGTATGGATGAATTGTCTGAAGAAGATAAGCTCGTTGTCGAGCGTGCTCGTAAGATTCAACGTTTCTTGTCTCAACCTTTCGCTGTTGCCCAAGTCTTCACTGGTTACGAAGGTCGTCTTGTCAAGCTCCAAGATACCATTCGTTCCTTCAAGGAAATCTTGGCTGGTAAGCACGATAACTTGCCTGAAAACGCTTTCTATATGCAAGGTGATATCAATGATGTTCAAAAGCGTGCTGAAGAACTCGCCAAGGAATTGGCTAACCAGTAAATTCATACAAGCAAAAGTGCCCCATTTACAGACAATTTTAATATGAAGGAAGATGATACGCATATAAAAGCATGATAAAAAACTTGAAAATAAAACAGGAAGGAATTCTTTCGCCCCCTTAAAACTTACTGCTCGACAATTCTAACATAGAAAAAGTGATGACTTTACTACGGCTACATGGATGACGTTAATGTCGTACATATAACAAAACCAGTTCGTGGCTTTTTTTAAGTTGTTTATTATTGTTGAATTGTGGTTTCTTTTCCTTTTTTTTTTTTTTTAAAGTAGTAAACATGTTGAAACTCTTTGGGACAAAAAGGAAAAAGTCATCGTTTAAACCAAACCAAGTTAAAATACCTGTTCCGATGATAAACGGTGTTCAATATGCAGACATGTCTGATTCTCAAATACAAGACATCCTCAGTCATGCAACTAATAAAAAACCCAAAACACCTTCTTTATCTAGTCAAAAGTCCAATAAAAATAGTATCACACACATTACACCGATCCGATCCATCAGCTCACCTCCTATCTTGGTTATGCCGAAACCAAAGCACCGTCTGCCACCTACGTTGGTCATCTTGAAGAATACAGAGCATGAAAAAACGCAGGTTGATACCATGGATAATGATGATGATGACCAAGATCTATTGAACGTTGCCTTTGTGCCTGTAATCAAAGATGAGGATCATGAGCAACCCTCTCACAGGTTAGTGTCAACTGATACGAAACAAATACATTTGGAACCATCCAATGATGTTACGAGAAAAAGCGACGATTCAAATACATCATTCCTATCCGCTTCCGAGTCTTCTTTTCTTTCTCTTCCTATAACTACTGAAGCAAGCCATAATCCTAACACAAGGATGATAAAGCAAGAAAACATAGTAAAGCCAATACAGGGTCAACCAATAGAGAATACAAAAGAACATCGCCAAGCATCTTCTCTTTCTGATACAGTAAATAAACAAGATTCACCTCCTTTTGAGGCACTCTCGACCTCATCACAGAAAAACATCAATAATATGCCAGTGAGAAAATCAGCAAATGCCCAAAATGATATGATAGACGAAATGCAAGCTCAAATACGAAAGATGGCTTTAAAAGAGGACCTATTGGAGTTGAGGCGTACGCTAGATATGATGGAACAACAACGAATATTAGACAGAAAGGAGCTGATGTCACGAGTGATGGAACAAAAGATGAGGGAAAAGGAAATCATTGAGCAAATCAGTTCAACCAAACAACTGCTTGAAGATGCCTTAGCAAAGAACTTGTTTAATGCCGGGATGTATCAAGATGAAAGCCAACAGCAGCGTAATAGAAGTACTGAAACAAATATTCAAACACTTGTGGATTCACAAAGTAATATAGAACTGGAGCCTGCATCTAATGCCACAACCAGTATAAAGCCTGTTGCGTCAAACTCTACACCAACAGCAAAGTCTAGAAAACCAGGCTATACTGATCCGCAGACAAAAGAAGAAAAACCAGATAGACAATATCAACGTGGCAGAAAATCTAATTATTCTGACTCGAAAGGCAACTATGAAGACGGCTACTTTGCTGATGCCTACACTTTGTCTCAGTTCAACTATTATGAACTTCCACCTGACAGATACATCCGTAGAGGAACCCAGCAAGTACCTCTTGAGTACGACTATAACTATCCTGATATGTATGGTCCGTCTAAAATTGGTTTACAGCAAGATCAACCAAAGAAACCTAAACGACGGCAACGTTCTAAATCACTTGAAACACAATGGAAAACTAACGCCGCTACTGAGCATGAGTTTATTCCTAGTGCTGCCTCTCTGCCTCGCTCGCGTAAATCATCGCTGCGTAGTGCCAAAAGCCTGCAATCAGAAGGAAGTGTACCTCGTCTTTCGCAATATCAGCAAATAGGAGACACTCAGGCACAAGGTGAAGATTATTTCACAGGTGCAAATATAGACTCTGATGATGAAATCATAAACAGAAATGAACGGTTATTGTCGATTGAAGAGCAACGTTATCCCAACGAAGGCCGTCCTTTAAAAAGGAATTCTCTAAGATATCGGTCAGTAGACGATAAGAGATGTCCAATGGATGGCCTTAGACCCTTACCTCCGCCCATGTTCTACCATCATGCTGGATTTATGCCTTTACCTCCATTACCACCCTTTGCTCCTGGTGTTAATCCAATGGAACAGCAAGTCGAGCCAGCTTATTATGGGTATCGACCAGACTATTTCGGACACCCATCTCTAAGTAGATCGTCATCAAGGATAAGAGGTCCTACGAAAAAGTCGCTGTGGAATCCTAGTGGATTACCTTCACCTTACAGAATGAGAAGGAGAGGTGACGGTCAAGATCCGTATAATGCCTATCAAATGGGAGATATGGATAATGAGCCACCAGGTGATTTTGATTCGTTCCAGGAAGATTTTATACCTCCTAATGGGTTCATTTCTCATCCGTCTATGAACAGGTTACCACAGAGATCACAACCAATGTATACAGATCCAACTTCATCCTTGTTGTATATGCAGCCATAAAATAAATAAACGTGTATTTTTATTTCTTTCTTTATTTGAAACGCTATTTATAATCATGTATCTTTTGTCAAATCGTACAAGGATGGAAAAAAAA